AACTTCTTCTAAATCGCCAATCATCCAGGTGGTATGGATAGTATCGCGAGTTTTGTCGCGATGTGCGATGGTGAAATTGAGCGGTTGGAATTAGTCCGAACAATTCCTCAGAGCACTCCCCATGATAGATGCGGTACATCTCTACGCAGTGCCAGTGAGTCAAGCCGATCGGAAAGAACTCGGTCGTTGACGATTCGGACCGCTTTGCGCTGGATGCGGTCAAGTGGAAGGAGCTGGCACTGGGGAGCCCCGGCCCAGAGATGAAAATAGTGTTCCATGTGGGGCCGAGCTTGCGATTTGTAAAGTTGCAAACGATGTGCCGGCATGAAATACTGTCCCGCTCTTCTGAGCACGCCAAGCTTTTTAGAGGCCAATTTGGCCTTCCCTTCCAAGTGACCACAAAATTGCACACTATTCGATATATCGACGCCGAGGATTCCGATGCTAGCTGAGGCAGCAAGGGGAGTGCCTTTAAACGCAAAATATTGGTACGGCCGGTGTATAAGGCATCACCAGTGCTTTCGTCTGCATAGCAATGAATGTTGCCAGTTTGCAAAATATCATTGATATGCAGAAGAAACAGCGTTGATGATAGCACGCAGCCTTGGCAGCGTTAATGGACATGTAATCGGAGCATTCACCGTCTACTACGACCTTGATGCTCCGATCTGCAAGAAAACTGGTGATCCAATTACACAATTTCTCGGGAAGCCCATTGGAAGGAAGCTTCGAAAGAAGCGCTTTGTGTCAAACCCGATCGAAGGCCTTCGCTATGTCCAAACTATCGGCAAACACCTCCCCCTTGGACTCCACTGCCTTCACCCATCTATGAGTTAGGTAACTTATAAGATCACCGGCCGAGCGACCTCGACGGAAACTGTACTGGCGGTCATAACTGCCAGCTCATGCGGTACCGCATGAGCTGGCAGTTAATAATAATTTCCATTACTTTGGAGAACAAGGAGGTGATAGCGGTAGGCCTGTCGTTATATGGATCTGAGCGGTCGTCATTTTTAGGGATCGGGTGCACCAAAGCTATCTTCCATGAGTTCAGGATTACGCCTAGTGAGTAGGAGTACCGGAAAAGACACGTTAAAACCGGTGCCAACTCCGGAGCACACATCTTCAGCACAATAGGTGGGACTTCATCAGACCCACTCGATTACTTGACGGCCAGGGAGAGGAGTGCTTTGCGCACCAAGCACTGTGTAAACAGCACTTCTGCATGGAGCACTCACAACGTGGGATGGTCGGCAGTGTGTTCCCAAGTCATCGAGAGTAGACATAGAAAAAGAGAGCCTAGCAGATCGGCTTTCATCTTTGCGTCATGGGCCGGTGAGTCGTCCGCCCTGTACAAAGATAGCAGAAATGGCTGACAGAAGTTCCCTTGGATAGCCTTGGCGAGAGACCAGAATGCACGTGTTCCCGAAGAAAGACGAACTAGTTCCTCACCAATTCTGCCGATGTGCTCTGACTTTGCCTTGGCAATGACACTTCTGAAGAACCTGGAGTCGGAATTATACTTCTTTTTAAGAGCGCTGGTGTTTGAATTCCGGGACGTTGATGCGTCAGCCCTGGCCCAGTAGCACTCCTACTTATAGCGTGATGCAATTTTACAGGAGCGACCAAACTATGGCTGAGTTCTGCCTCCGATAGGCACCACAGATGATGGAATAAATAATTCCATTCCCTGAAGTACCACATCAGTGACAGAATCAGCAACAACATTGGCATCATCCGGCGAGAAGCAAACCCGCCCTCAAGGATGCAAAAAGACCGCTCGGCTGACCTATAGTGCCAAACACGGCGGCAAGCTGCAGGTCGCACCTGCCATGGGACCGTGAGTGGCACCGTACTCCGGATCAGACAATGGTACGAAGAGCCAAGAGGGGCATCGACGGAGATTTGATATGCGTCTGTATGAGAGGTCAGCAGAAGGTACATGATCCTTCACATCTGGGATCCGCGTAGGCGAAGTAACCAGTTGTGTCAGACCATATGCCAAGGCAAAGTCATGAACAGATCTACCCGCATGATCGGTTAAATGGGAACCAAGCCATTCAGCGTGATGTGTGTAAAAATAAAGAAAGAATAAAGAGGTAATAAAAGCACATACTATTTGCAAACAAGAATTTATTTATAAAATATGCGTGAGTGTCGTGTAACACTCGGTTGGAACGAAGTTCTTTTCATAGTATATTATTATTGATAAACGTATTATTTTATTGATTAACAAATACAAAAAATACAAATAAATGAATTACTAGCGTCTATTAAAAGGAAGCGTCATTTAAAATAATATTTTTTTAATGGGAAGATAAGAAAAAGCTCGAGGGAGATGAATATTATTCCATCTCGCTTGCACTAGAGAAAGGGTCGTGAAGGAAAAATCTTACACTTTTTCTCGCCTAGCCCCCATCCGCCGAATTCGTACCGTGCGATAACGAACTTCGTTCTAAAAACGTATGGCCTAGTTTTCTGAAGTAAAGTTAATTCTATACGTTTGAATGCACTTAACGAGAACCACTGGGTTTTTGTTACATGTTGTATAGGTACTGTAATTTTTCTTTTGACTTAGACAACCAATGCATCTTCCGCAGGTTTTCATTGCGGCAACACCATTAGCAACGATACGATACCATATTAAGATCTAACAACTGCTCCTTTATTTGCCTCGTGTTACGTCAAATACTCCCTTTATTTAATAACAGCATTGTTTAACAAATATTTGTTCATCGTTAGCCGAGCTAGCAGCGGTACCACAACCACAGCTCTTAACACAACGGCGTAAAGTTCATTTTGAGTTATAAATTGTGTTAATTTAGGGCGATACCGATGTTTGCGCGTCAGCCCTTGTAACGGGGACGGCTCGCGGGGTTGTTTTCTTGGCATAATCACGATGTTTTCTTTGGCTTGTCATTTATTAAAAACGTAGATGAAAAAGTCGTTTTTGTGACATCTATTTTTTATTAATTTATACCGTCTTATTTTAAAAAAAAAACATAGTATATTGATAGTCTCGGGTTAATATAATGGCTTAAGAAGAGTCCTAAATATAGTAATATAGTAAGTATCCTTGTTTTAGAAGATATGTTTTAGAATTAAGTGAGATGAGAAATCTTTCTAGCGTTGCATTGCCTGCTTTCCTTGCTTCCGTGCAGTGTCAGTGACTTATATAAAATAATTTTAAATAATAAAGTAGACCTGTGCTTTGCTACGGAGGCAGGGCAGACATGGCAAACGCTCTGGCCCGGTGAAAATATTCCACTGGAAGTTAACCAACAAAAAAGTGGGATATTCCGTTGGTATAGAGCGTGCGGAAAGATATGTTTCATAATTTCCATAGTGACCAAGATAAGGCACGCCTTCTAGCTGTTTCGACTAAGGAATCTAGTCACTGGTTACACGCTTTACCAGCAAGTAATCTCGGCACATTACTTGATGGGAAAAGCTTGCGCATCGCCTTAGGAATCCGACTAGAAGCGGCGATTCGTCAACCCCATCAGTGTCCCTGTGGTACCAACGTCGACAAGTTTGGATTCCACGGACTTTCATGTAAGAAAAGTGCTGGTAGGTTTTCACGACACAGTTCTTTGAACGATGTCACCCGAAGGGCTCTTGTCTCTATGTTCTATGTTCCTCGGTTTTAGAGCCTTGTGGAATATTTAGAGACGATGGCAGGAGACCTGAGGGTGTGACATTGGTCCCTTGAGAGAGAGGTAAAGCCCTAGTGTGGGATGATACTTGTGTAGACACTCTGGCCGCCTCTCATCTCAGAGATACCTCGTTTAGAGCCAGGGCGGCATCAGAGGTAGCTGAACTGAGTAAGTGGCGCAAATATGAGTCTCTGAGAGATAACTACATATTTCTGCCATTTTCTGTAGAGACTATCGGTCCGTGGGGTCCACGCGCGGTCAAGTTCCTAAAGGAACCCCATCCGCGGCTGGTCGTTGCTGCTGGTGATAAGAGGGCTGGTTCTTTTCTCACTCAAAGGCTATTCAGCGGGAAAACGCAGCCAGCGTTCTTGGCATGATACCGCGGGGAGTAGGACTGTATGATAATTAAGTAGTCTAGTATGAGTTTTTTTTTATTACTATAGTTGATTAAATATTGTGAAAAAGTGCTGTGTTTCGTTTAAAGAAATCTTTCACCATCATCCTTGTGTATACTCACCTTTACACTGCTTTGTCAATATTTTAAGTATATGTACGTAAATTATTATTGACAAAAATGTAATATGTATATCAGAATACCCTGCCTGCCTATGCAAGCAGTTTGACCCAAGAACGAAAGAGACGCAGTGACGCATCATTTCGCATGCGATAACGTAGAGAAAGACTAAAAGTCTGTCACCAAATTGCCTATCTCACCAAATAATCTTTCTTTACTAAATCTTTCATACTAATTAGCTAAAAATTAGTAACTTGATTTACTATGATTGATTACATGCTATTGCCAAAGAATTGGAAATTTTCAACAGCAGCCTGGCAAAGTTCACAGAAGCGGCGCACAGGATCTGTGACAACTTTTTATAATCATTCCATTTATAATTTGTATTTTTGAATGAAGTTTACTATAATTATTATATTTTTAAATTTTTCGATTTGGCACTGTCTTGGTCGAACTGTAATGATGCTTGCTGTTCTTCTAAATATAAATAAATAAAATTGAAGTTTCTTTTTGTGATGTCACAATAACAGGTTTTTAGTAAATGCATATGAAAGTATATACGGTTATTATAAATAAAAACATTTTTTTTAATTCTTGTGCATCGGTCTGTTTGATCCGACTAATCTCCCAAATGGCTGGACCAATTTTGACGGGGTTTTCACTGGTAGATAGCTGATGTTATAAGGAGTAATAAGTCTATACTTTGAAACTTTAAAGTAAAATAAGCCCCATGAAATTCAATCGTAACAAATTCCACGCGGAGAAGTCGTGGGGAATAACTAGTAATAAATAAATAAAGAATAGATTATAAATAATTTCGTATCACTCACCTGTATCCCTCAACTGCAGCGAGCCAACCTTGTTGCTGAGGTAGCCCTTGATGGAGTTCGCAACGCGTGAAGGCGAAGCGGCTGCGGCGCCGCCTCGCAGCGCGCCCTGCAGCCGCCCGAGCAGCGCGCCCCCCTCGTCCTCCACTGTCGAGCCCCAAGGGGCGACTGCCCCTCGCACGACTTCCAAATAACACCAACTTTCAAAAATTGAATTAGCCTTCTGCTCTTTGCTTTTTATTTCCAGCCAGTTCCTAATTCCTTTGATCGGTTAATACTTATTCTAATTTTTCGTGTACTTTCTACGTCTAGACTTAACTAATTTCAGTGCGTTTCTTGATATGTATTGAGTTTGTGAGTGTTGTGGGCTTAGTGCTCGATCATGGTGCGCCACCTGTCCTCTGTAACAAAGAGTGTTTTATTAGGAAGCTTTTTTCTTTTTTTTTATAAATATAATGTTACCCCCACACTAGGAATTCCTCCTGTATCGTGTAAACAGTTTACATACATAAATTTCTGATCTACCTATATCTCTATATCTCTTCCAAATTTAAAACGATATTTCCACAATTATTTCCTCAGCGGTAGTAACGCACCGGGTAACCAGCTAGTGTTTTTATAAAAATTAGCCGGCTAAACATAGGTTTAGTTTTCGTAGGCTTTTGTAAACTACGCCGAAAAATTTATGTGTAATGTATTATCTACTGGCAAGTTCACATAGGTAAGTTAAACCAATTAATTATCAAAATAATAATAATAAATACCGTACACAATTCAAATCACGTTACTTCCTTTATTTTTCTTTCATTTTCAGTTGCTTCTACTTTTTAGGTGATCGGTTGCGATTAAATTTAATTTTAGGCTTAATATGGTAACTTAAGTTTAAGTCGCCTGGCTAAACATTAGCCTGTGCTCAATACTTATTACGTAGTGACAAATTTATTTGAAAGTTATACATATATCATTCAACTTCAATGAATGTATTATCATCATCATCATCATCATCATTACAGCCCTTCACAAGTCCACTGCTGAACATAGGCCTCCCCCAAAGAATGCCACAAAGCACGGTCCTGAGCCACCTGCATCCATCGACCAATGTATTATCATTCCCAATTAAACGATATAACTCTTCTAAAGCAGACAATCGTTTTTTGGGCCCACTAGAAACTTTAACGTAACTTAATTTTATTACACATAAATAAGATATCAATTTATTATAGTAAACGGCCTAAAATTTTTATGAAAATGTAACCGGAATCATAAAATCTGAAAAAAAAAAGTTCTTTTGATATTCGTGAATTGGCTAATGTTACTTAAAAAATGCGTTTAAAGAAGAACGAACCACCAAAATAAAATTTCCATCAACCATAAAGTACCTAAAAATGCTGAATGTACCTACATAGGGTTACCAGATGAAAAAATTAAAAGTCCGGAGAAGAGGCCTGATTTCCATTTAAAAATCCTGAGATTGTTTTACAGTTTGAGAAGAAAACCTTACTTAAAAAGATATCTTCACATATTAAGTATGATAAAGCTGTTTAAGTACCTACTTGGATAAATAAGTTTTGATTTTAATTGTGGAATTATTACCAAAGGAAAATTATTTTTAGTTTGTTTAACTTTTTATTAAGAGATCTTTTAAAATGTAAGCTGTATTGTATTGAAAATTCTAAAAATCCTGAGATTTCATGACATTTGCAAAATCCAGCCGCAATCCTGAGAAGAGGCTAAAAATCCTGATATCTCAGGACAAATCCTGAGATATGGTAACCCTATACCTACAGCATTCTTTTATACTATTAATTATTGACCAGTGCACTGTTTTAACTTATATTACCGGTGAAAACTACTAAACAATCGCTTTTAGTTTGTTTTTAGGTTACTGTGATATCCATATTTTAATTGTTAATTTCTCAGTATTCCCGTTAGATACGGTAAAACTAATATTACTTTTGTAATCTATTGGTTATAAGGAATAAATCCGCATCTGTTTCATTAATTTCCGCCTTATTACGGTGGTGGGCGCATTCTCAATACAAAAAGAAATTGTCTCCTATAAAATGATATTTCCACAATTGTTTTTCTGCGGCAGTAACGCGCCGGGTACCAGCTAGTAAGCTATAAAATACTTTACTAATTCAGTTTTCATCCTCGGCATAATAATTCATTTTAAAACGATAACATAATTCATTAAGCTGCATTAACGTAGACCAAGCATCGGAAGTCAGTGCGCCATTCCGGTCGCAAAATGGCGGCCGGACGTTCTCTAGTGGCGACTTCCTCTTCTACTTCCGGTGACTTTTGGACTCAGAACGAGGTAATTTCGACTTTAAATCTGCGTTTTTATTACATAAGTAAATGCAATTATTTGTTAATAATTATACAAATATAAATGGTGTCAATTTTATTATTAAATTATATTTGTAAAAACGTTTTTTTATAACATAAGGGTGACAAACGAGCACAAAGTTGACCTGATGGTAAGTCGACGCATACGCATACGCTGTGGTGCATAGACAACTACACCTATCTATCCCCAATTTAGAATCAAAATTGAGGATGCGTGCATTTTTCTTGTTTTTGAAATTATGTTTCTGGGAATATTTTTATCCTTCATGTTACTTTTACGTTGATCTTCGTCATTATATTAAATCTTTTTGTAATTTTCTTTAAGCATTTATAATAATTGTGACCTGAGATAAGATGATAAACATAATCGTATTTAATTTCCTTTTTCGTCATATCCGGTGCCGTGTCAATACATAGTTATTTAATACAATTGACATCATTCTTCTCAATTTCAGGCCTCGTCGGTGCGCGTGCATTGTCGCAGCGCACCGCCTGGCAGGGTCGCCATGTAATGTGAGAAGTGACAACTAAGAATAAACCTTTGAGAACTAAGATAAAAGGCTTATTTTTAAGTGAAAAGAGTCTCCAGTTCTCTACACTTACCATACAAAAACAGAAGCGTTAAGTTGCTATTTCTGCTGGTCGCACGGTTAAGCCATCAGTGCTGTAATCATAATGAAGCTGCAGCGTGGCTCTACCACGCCAATAACCGTGCATGATGCAAGCGGTGAGGTGGCGGTTGAAAAACAAATACCACATTTTATTCTTTGCGAGGATCGCACGTGTCGAGTGAGGGAAATGCCAGAAAAAGCTTATGGTTTTCATAGTGGTATCACCATCACGTTTAAATGAGACGTGAAATATTGAACCGGTGATGAACAGCGTCAAAGAAGCGAGATATCTGGTAAGGAGATTGTCACACACACAGATTGTAACACACATAAAAATACATACAGGCGAATTGAGTACCTCTTCCTTTTTGAAGACGGTTGAATAAAATGAGAACATCGTCAATGTAGTCGGAGTCAATCGAATACACATTATTAAGGATAACTCAAAAAATACTAGTCAGACCTTGATCAAATTTATATGACACCACATGAGAAGCACCAGCCAAGCATCAGAATCATCAAAATCCGTTCACCTAGAAAAAGTTCCGAGGTATCACTCATAAACGTAAGAGTCGAATTGAAGACGTCCTCCTTTTTTGAAGTCAGTTAAAATGCCTCACACTGAACACCAGTAGTGTTAGAAACTATTGTTTACCATTGATTACTTAAGGCGATACCCCGACAAAGACCTTGCGATAGTGCGTTTTTCGGAGACTATTATCTCATTAGTTATGAGAAATAAACTACATCTAAAAGTACATTCTTAATGTTCGATATTCTATCATCACATTCGACGTTCTAATTTGTTTTTATGTGTTATAAATATATTTAAAATCTAATTTAAAAAAATGACTAAAACTATTGATTACATGCATCTGTTGCTAAAGGCAACGCTCTAACATTGGAGGATTACACTAATGGATATATAATTTAAAAATTTATATTCTTCACGTTTTATTTAATTTTTAAAGTTCGCTTTTCTTTTTTAATTAAATTAATTCCAAAAATTGTGTGAATTCTATGATAAAGCGGCGTACGTCTAAAGAGGGAACGAATGCTCAAGGTTATTTGGTCAGGGAAACGCCTTAAGTAATAATCTTAGGAAATAATGTTCATTTCTTTTATAAACGCAAACTTATAAAACACTAGGTTTATAAGTTAAATAGTTAGTTTCTTAAGGTCTTGTATCAGGGACTAGTCGTCGCCGCTCGGTCGGAGACAAGAGGGGAGGTTTTTTCCAAGTATAGCCAAACAGCGAGGAAACGCAGCCAGCGTTCTTAGCACTATACCGCAAAGATATATAAGGTACGTGAGGTTAATATGGTCACCTTAAGTTTTGCTGCCTTATAACACCAAAACTAGGAGGAGGACAGAGACAAATACACAATGTCGTATAATAACTATAACTAATAAAGAAAAAAAAAACAAACAAGCCTTGGCAATAATTAGTAACACTTCGAAAAATCAACTAAAAAAAACTAACTATATTACGTGAGGGTAATATGGTCATTCGGTTAAAATGGTCACTTTCTTATAACTCAAAAACTACAGTGTCGTTTGCATAGAACGCTCTGTGATACGATAGCTCTTGATCAGTCTATCATTGTGATACGATAGCTCTTCATCAGTCACTCAAATAATAAAGGGTCAAAAGGCCGCCGTTTTCCGACGCCACGACACGACAGTTGATATTACAGTAAGTACGTGAGGGTAATATGGTCACCTTAAGCTTTATCGCCCTATAAAACAAAAAATTAGGAGAAGAACAGAGACAAAAACACAAAGTCGTATACTATAACTAATATATTAAGAAAAAAAAAATAGCAAACAAGCTTTGGAAATAATTAGGAACACTTCGAAATATCTACTTAAAAAAACTAACTACACTACACAATACAAAAATCGACTAAAACATTTACAATAATATCAACTGTCAAAATGGCGTTTATCGACTTAATAGAATAAGGATAGTTAGATAAACGTAAGTATATCGATACTGTTCGTCAAAATATCGTCAAATATCTGTGTGTAATAGTGTATATAAATCCTACTCGTTTATTTGAAATGGATTCTATGAAATATCGAGAGGCTGACTACTCTGTACATGTGTTCAAGAGAGACATGATTGGTTTCAACCAAATCAAAGTACACTAATAAGCGAAGAGGTTGTTAAAATGTATGAATTGAGTCATCGCTGCAGCACCAGCCCATGAACCACCATACTTGGGCTTTACCTTTATAAATGTAAAAATCTGTACTGTCGTGAAGTACTACTCATGATTACTAACTACATGACGATGCGATGTCGATACGATAGAAAGTCGGATGTCGTGTACAAGATTCTAACGACCGACTGGTGACTTTTGCTCATTTAGTTGGTTGTTACTGGTGATTAATCCTTGTTGTTAGAGACTATTGTTTGTGGAAAATGCTGGCGTATTCACTTTTAAACTCTATCTAAGTAAAGTTAAAGCTAAAGTTGCAGCCTATACGCTCCACCGCTGGGCACAGGCCTCCTGTCATTTCTGAGAGGGTTTCAGGGCAAGGAAAATTCGCCGGGCTGCTCCAAAGTGCATTAGCGAACTTCACATGCCTTCGATTTTTTTTTCTTATTTCTCAGACATGCAGGTTTCGTCACGATGTTTTCCTTCAACGCTAAGCACGTGGTAAATCAGCACTAAAATTGCAATTAACAATTTAATTTGTGCCGGCGGGTATCGAACCCGGGTTGCTCGCGTACTCTGAAATTTACAACGAGCGCTTAGTCCCTGAGCTATCACAGCTCTATCCAAATAGGAATAAAAAATAATTTATTAGCGTAGTAACAGTTACACTCTTTATTAGTCGCGCTGTTGGGTAAACGCTTTTCATTTCTGAAGGTTATGAAGCAATTTGCCCACCGCGATACTCCAGGTGGTCTTCACAAACCCTCGAAATAATTTATTCTTCAGGCATGCAGGTTTCCTCATGATATTTTCCTCCGCCGCAGAGCGCGCGTAAGATCAGAATTTAAAATCGCAACCGTTACTGTTACAGCCTATTAAAGTCCTATTATTGACCACTGCTGAACATAAGCCGCCCCATAGATTGCCTTATAGGTGGGATATTTGCTAAAGTTGCCACATTTGGCAAGTGGGTTGGCAATGCAGTTTTTTTATTTTTAGGAAAACGCTGCTGCCCATCTTCTGATTTGTTGAGCTCTGTCGCCTCTTACGAGAACCGCTGGATGATCTGGGTTAGTGGATATTCTTACACCGCCACTACATGGTATAATTGCAAGTAATAATTATATTTGTCCCGGCGGGTGTCAAACCCGTGTTTGTCACCTACTGTAAAATGAACGATGAGCGCTTAACCACTGAGCTATCAGGGCTTCAAGGAAATGATGTAAAAGGATAGGTAGTACAAATTTGAATCACAACAACTGAATTTTATCCAAATGTCAAAGACTAAAGTTATAGTTCACAGTTACGACCGAGGTGTTTGACGTCCTGATGTCATAGTTAACGAAGGCTACCTTCAAGTTTTAATTATTAACAACGTCAAACACCATATCCCGCCCATGACCATGGGTTTTGTAAAGTGCCCGAAACATCGGGAATCAAAAAAAGAGGTATAGTAAGTTCAAAAAGTTAAAATTAATTGCGATAAAATCCATGAAATTAGTTTTGTTCTATGTGTAGTATTCGCGTAAACATAAGAAAAAACTTTTTTTTTTATATTTGGATAAAACGAGAAAATTTTCTGTCATAAAAATGTTTTAATTATAATGACACATTCAATTTTATTCTTGAGGGGTGTCAACGCATCTGCATTTTAATACTTAATTGATAATGAATATACAGCCTATGGACCATTAGAAAAAGAGCACACCATATTTATCTTCAGTTGTAAAAAAAATTGATGTAAGTTAATGGCCACAGTATCAACTTACCCTTAGGTCCTGTGTGCTTGATTGTCACTCTTATTTCTTTAAAATTATGAAGCACAATCAAATTACAGGTACGGTCTAGATAGGTGATGGTACCACACTCACCCAGCAGCAGTGCACCCTTTGCTCTATTCAGGTTTGATAGGGAAAAGGGACAGAATAATTACAAATTATGAGGCATTTCAGTTTTGTCCTATCCTGTATCTGCATTATTCTTTGTTCAAAGTAGCCACTTAGCATCAAGGTGACTGTATCGTTTACCTTTGTATTATTACATAATTTAATAAAAGTTATCATAGAAAATCCACCTTCCACGTCTGTGTACATACTTACTAACATACACCCACACTCGCGTTATATACACACATGCAGCATATATATATATGAATATGCATATATATATGCTGCAACCGATTTGTTATATAATAGCTTCTGGACCGGTTATGTAATACGAATTTTATTTTCACACTTCACGGCGAAACAAATCAAATCAAAAAGCAAAGCCGTAATACAAGATATGTTATAATAATTAAAGGAAAATCTAAAATGGCCGACTAAGAAATAAGAAAATATTGACCTTTGATCTAGCTGACGGGAGCTTGGCACACCTGGGATCAGCGGGCCCAGACTGGCCTCCCCAGGCCGTCGAGCTGAAAATTCTTGCGAGACATGCGCAGAGCCTCGCCGTGCCATTCGTCAGTGCCTTACTGTGACGTCATAGAGTTCCAACCAATAGGGGTGGCCTGAAATTTTCACGTAGGTATGGGAGGAGATCGGTCGATTGCTAAAAATAGGCCCCGAAGGCGTGAGAGGGTCGATATCGGCCCTCGACCGTATCGCGCCATCAAACATTCGACTTGCAAGACCTTCCCCCGACGAGGAGTCCGTTTGCCGATCAAACTCTTTCTCAATTACGGTGCGGTTCTGATAAATGTTTAAGTAGTGAAATAAATAAATAAATTTAACTGTACTTATCTGCAAAAATACTTTAATTCAAGCCTAGCTTCGGTTCGAGGATTTATTTAGATAAATATTTCATCGTACCTATGCAACTGATTTAAGATCGATCCCCGTTGCCGGCACCAAAAAAACTTATATATTGTAATTTTAAGTTATGAATAACTGCATAAAGCGGATGTGTAATGAAATTAGTAAAATAATTTCCAAGCAGGTAAATTTTTAAGCAGTGAGCAGAAGCACAAGCTTTGAAGTCAGTGCTTACAGTCTGTCAGAAAATTAAAGCTTCGACTTCGGAAGCTGTTGTGAAAATTATTTTATACTAACCTCTTTTTGAAGTCACTAAAAGATTTTTTATGCTTTTGAGTGAACTTCAAACAACAACTATAATTTTTAAACAATCGCTATAAAAAGTAAAAACTATAATGTCGTTTCAATAGTTTCAATAAACATTTTATCCCATATAATTCCACCCTTAGGTTTCAATTTAATATTAGACTTTATTAGTTCCATTAGTTGTACACTATATTATCTTTTTTTATATAATGATTTCTTACTGCGTAAATCGGAACAAAAATTAATAATCTTTAATCTGGAGGTAGCCGTAGTTAACTATGACATTGGGACGTCATAAACCTCAGTCCCCCCCGTGACCATGGGTGCTGTAAAGTACTCGAAACGTCGGGAATATAAAATAAGTTAATATACGCGATAAAATCCGTAAAACTAGTTTTATCTAAATGTTTTATTTAATTTATCTTTTTAATTTAATACTTTAATGGTCTAAAGTATATAACCTATTTAATAAAAATTGAATAATTTAAATTCGTTCTTTTCAGCATTTCCAAAAAATCGGTGAACTTACATAAAATTCATACATGCGTTGAATATAGAACCGTCATGGTTTTCTCGGTTAAAATTTATAAAAGGGTAAAGAAAAAGATATCTCGTGATCTATAAATCCGAGAAATGAATCATACTGCTAGGACATGGTAGAGCTACGCTCGTATATCATGGTTGGCACGACCGTGGTATTACCACGCTCTCACAGAATACCACTGTACAATAGCAGTTTAATGCTGCTGCGTTTCGTATGGTGAGGGTAGAGAACCAAACGTCCTCTTGACTGGAAAGGAGGCATTCCATCTTAGTACTCAGGGCTGACAACGCATCTGCTTCGATTCTTTATTGATTGAAAATGAAGATGACTATCGGCCACAGTATCCACTTACCATCAGGTGGACTGTGCGCTCATTATGTCACGCTTATTCTTTAAAAAAGAGACATTTTCACGCGTTTATCTCCTGTACCAAACTTACAGAGTATTAGATTGTAAGACAAGGATTTTCTATTTTGTCTTTCACTATTAGAATCACAAGCTATTTCGTAGTCACGTATTATTTCGGTTTTAAATTGTGGAAAAACGTATCTCCAAAAATATTCATGAGGCAATTTTTTAAAACTCACTTTTTTTCTAGAATAATGTGATCAACGAGCACACAGTCTACCTGATTGTAAGTGGTTGCTGTGGGCCATGGACATCTACATCTATCCTCGATTGCGAATCAAAATGCAGATGCGTTGTCACTCGTGAGGACTAAGATGGAACGCCTCTTTTCCACTAAAAAGGGTCTCCGGTTCTCTACACAACACAGCAGTTTTAAGCTGCTATTTAACGCTGGTATTCTGCGAGAGTGTGGTCCTTCCCCGGTCGAGCTGACCCATTCGTGCTGCAACTATACTACTAATATAGATGCAGCATGGCTCTACAACGTATAAAACTCTTACACATCGACGAATTCAATTCGGCTGGGCAGCATTCGGGAGATTAAGGCACTTCTTCTCGTCAGGCATACCTCAAAACTTCAAAATAAGATGGTAAAACCAGTGCGTGTTGCCAGTGATAACTTATGGATCTGGAGGCAGCTCAAGGTCGCTCAGCGAGCTATAGATATGCCATAGCTATGCTCGGGGTTTCTCTGCGTCTTCGTATCCACTACCCCTTATTATCCCGTGGCTGTCGTAAGAGGCGACAGAGGGAAACATATCATGGGCAGCAGCGTCTTTCTAGTAACGACTAAAACTAAAAACTCCGGTTGCCAACCCGCTTGATAAGCGTGGCAACTATGGCAATTACCCCGCATATGAGACAATTTATCGGGAGGCCTATGTTCAGCAGTGGACTTTAATAGGCTACAACGGTAGATATCTACGGGCCACAGCACCTACTTACCATCAGGTAGACTGTGTGCTCGTTTGTCAACCTTATTGCTTTAAAAAAATGACGTTATTAAGAATAAAATTCAAATTTTTTTTATACGTAGTTGAGCCACGCTGCGGCTATATTATTGTTGTAGCACGAATGGGTTGGCTCGACAGGGGAAGGACAACGCTCTCACAGAACACCAGGGTAAAATTTTAGCTTAATGCTCCTGTGTTTCTTATGATGAGTGTAGAGAACCGGTGACCCTTTTTACTGGAAATGGGGCATCCCATCTTAGTCGTTAGGGGTGAAAACGCATCTGCATTTTGATTCTTTATCGAGGATACATGTAGGTGAAGTGTGTGCTCGTATATCAATCACCCTTATTCTATAAAAAAAAAGAAAAAAATGTTGAATATATGGTAAAGGTGATTCTTTGAATATATGATAGGTGTCTCCTACCACGTTATTATTAAGTAACTTTCTTGTTTGTCTGTCTGTCGTTCTGGGTGAAATCTTGCAACTCAAATTTCGAGCATTTCAGATGAGCTAAAGACTGGAAACTTTGAACATAACCAGAATCGGTGACAATGTAGGAATATAAAAAAAGCGGTATATTGAATTGGCAATATGGTCCCGGGTTGAAGTCCTAGATCGGGCAAAAAATTATAAATTGGATTTTTCTTTCAATAAATTCTCAGTAGCTGGCCGGAGCCACATAGATAATGTTCCACCCCCATACCACGGAAAGCGCCTAATACCGTTGGTCCTTCGCCTGATCTCTCTACTGTTGTTTTGAATTGCCGTCCCTATGGACCGTGATGGAACATAGAGTGCTCCTGTACTTGCTCACACCCTTGTGTACTTTAATCCTGACAACGCAGATAGCTGGTTTCCGTTGAAACTGGCCGCCGTGACCGAAATTCGGTGTGGAGGACTTTTCATTAAATGATAACTTTTCATTACGGCCGCATTGTCGAATTTGCTGCCACTACCTGATTATCCTGACGGTTACGAATTCGAGACCTTTAAGAAAAAGGTTTACTATTTTTTGAAATTCCGGCTACAAATCTGCCATTTCTGTTGTTTCAGGTGTTCATGGGCGGCGGTAGTCACTTACCATCAAGTGAAGATATAAGATGCACACTTCTAAAAAAGACAAAATCCGGGATAGCGAAACTGGTGGAAGCTACCATTAAATATACCTTGCATATCCATGAGATTATTTGCTTTTATCAAACTTGCGTTTGTACAAAAAGGTAAGTTATTTGGTGTTATATTTTTTTCATTATTATAAATAGTGTGTTAAAGGAAACTAATTTTTACGGATTTTATCGCGTTTAATTTAAATCTTTTAATTCCCGACGTTTCGGGTGCTTCACAGCTGGATTGTGAATGTGGTCTCTCTTACATAGGGCATACAAAAAGATCTATAAAAACCCGCGTGAAAGAATATATAGCTGACTTGAAGCACCGACGTATCGGGAAATCAGCAGTGTGTGAACATGTTCAAGATCGACCCCACTACATTACATTTTATAGACCACAAACACTCGCAAAAGAACACCGATTCCTACCAAGGATGATTCGCGAGGCTATTGAAATTAATAAAACATCCTAATTTCAATAGAGAAGATGGATGGGTGCTGCCATCTGCTTGGGAACCTATAATTAATAAAATTAAATCCAAACCCAGGCATACCACTGCAAGAATTCAAGATACTGTAAGTTCATTCTGCGTAGATCGGACCAAAAATTAATATTCAAAAACTGAAGGTAGCTGGGCTAACTATGACAACGGTACGTCAAACATCTCAGTCCCCTCCGTGACCCTGGGTGCTGTAAAGCACCCGAAACGTCGGGAATTACAAAAGTTAAATTAAACGCGATAAAATCCGTAAAAATTAGTTTCATTTAATGTGTAGTCTTCGCGTAAACATAAGAAATCATTATAAATAGTGTGACTAAACATATTTAATATTTCATAAACTTCGCATACTTGAATAGGTTTTCTAAGCGATAATGCTCTGTTTAATCAGGAGCTTTAAAAGTTGGAAATCCTCCAGAGCTTTGCAATTTACAAGTGTCATCGTAAACTTACTTAATACTTTCAAAACATGCTTCATATCAGAAAAACTAGTATTTTGTTAAAAGCTTTGGTGGAATTAAATTTATTCAACAATTGTTTTGTTAAATCCGGAACAAGAACACAAATTTTTCTTTTTATCAGACTTCAAGAAAGAGAGGTTCCCATCTCGCCTGTCCGTTTTTCGTATTTTTTTTTCTAGAATAGGATGCATGTAAGCATGCGGCTCACCTGATAGTAAGTGTCGACCGCCGCCCATAAAAAGCAATAAGGGCCCCCGGTTCTCTACGCTGACCAAACTAAACACAGCAGCATTAAGTTGCTTTTTACACTGGTATTCTGTGAGATAGTAGCCCTTTCCCGGTCGAGCCGACACATTCGTAC